ACGTGTCGCTTACATCTACTAACCCGTAATACATATAATGATAATGTAGTGATATATGAATAGGTTCCAATTTCTTTAACTAAAATAAAAACTTCTACACTTTCTTTTTGACATCTCATATATACGTAAACCATTATATAACTTCATTATGTACAAGTATCATTATTCGTGTCCATCCTAAACGCCTTATCAACGAATAGTCATTAAAAAATGGAGATAAATTCATAAATTCGTAGTAAATTCTTAATGTCCTTCAAATAAACAATGCCTCTCATGTAAACAACTTTTATCAAACATTATGCATAAATACTTTGAACTTTCAGTTTTGGTTCTTTTCTATCAATTAGTAGCAAGCACGTGTCTTGCACATTTTATGTATCGGATGAATGATATTTGTAATTTTTTGAAATACAAATACATTTTTTTAAAGTAATTGAGGTAATTGATATGGTGAGAGGAAAAATTAAAATTGTAATATATATATATAATTTTTTTATGAAATTATTTATATAGTGAAAAATGTTAAATTAACTTAAATGTAATGTTATGATTATAATAAGACTTCTTTGTACACAATAGTTTTTATCAATGTATCACATCTTTTCTTCTTTTTATTTTCTACTTTTACCAAAACTTTTGTTGTTTGCATTAAAACTCCTAGGAAAAATGCGATATTTAGTTGTCCATGAGAAAATACATGTTTAGGAAGGTATATTTCAACAATAAGCATTGTTTGTTCTTGAGCCTTGTTAATGGTCATTGCAAAGCATAGACTTATTGGAAATTATTTCATCTTGAATTTGAATGGACATCCTTCATCATTTGCAGTAGTTAATAGGATATATGGAAGGAAAAATTGTTTTTAAGTATATTGTTCAACGATTATTTTTACATGGATAATAAGTTTTTGAAATCACGACAAATCATTTTTATTCCATTGTAAAGATCATTGGATGGGTTCAAATTCCTCTAGAGAATCACTAGATAATTTCTTTTCAAGATTAACTTATGTTGCGAGATACCATTTGACAACAATGTATTTAAGAATTCTTCTTGATAAAATTGATTTGTATCATCTATTGCTTCATCAAAGCTCACAAACTCTTCACTTTCACCAGGAAATAGCTTAACTATTTTATCATTGATGTAGTCAATATATTCATTTTTTTTAAACAATTCCACATTGTCATTTAATAGAAGAAGTTGCATTTTCTGTTAAACCTAAGAACATTGCATTGATTAAGTGTAACACTACACCACGCCTAAAACCGCCTGCTCCAACACCACCCATCACATCCACCTACAACTCCAATCAACCACCGCATAACCACAACCATCGCTTGCTAAAATCCACCATTTCTTCCAACATTACCACACCTACATAAACCACCCAACCACAGGGCGCGCGTGTCACTGCTTACAATGGGGTGAGGTGTTGGTGTATCGCGCACAGTAGTTGGTGATGTGCTTGTCGCCGACGCACACGAGAGCTGTGAGGAGTTGTTGGAAGGGTGGAGTGGAAATGATTGAAGTAGCCATTGAAACCATTTTTGAAAGATATATTAGGGTCTGTTGGGTGGAGTGGGGTGTGGGGTAGGTGCGTGTGCGTGTGTGTGGGGTTTGGGGTAGATTCATTTAATTTTATAATATTGAAAATTTAAATTATTACTTGATTTTTGAACATAAAACTTTCAAATCTCATTTTTGAACTATAATCTTAAAAAGCCCGGTCTAGTGAAATTTCCACTAAAAAAACTCCTAATCCCACACTCAAACACTCCAAAATTCAATGTTTCCCTCGTTGTACCCATCTCCTCACATAAACGCTACTCAGCCTCCTCAAGTGAAGAACGATCCAGCCGGTGGAATTTACTCTCCACAGAGTATTTACAAGTAATCAAGTCACTCTATTTGAGTTCCGCCAATTAACCAATTAGAATTAACATACATATCTACCGAAACTAATAATATTTTTTTACTACGAAAGTCGAAAACTAAACAAGAATAAACTTGAAAAAATAATAAAACTTTGATTTTAGTAAATCAAAGTCATACTAATGTTATGAATTATTCATTTCTTATGATGCAAAAATTTATTTTGCAAAAAATTGCAATATTGTTCCTTGAAAAATGTAAAATTTCCAAATGACCCCAAACTTGCCAAAAATTACAATAACGCCACTGAAACTTATTGCCTTGTAAGCTTAGGATGGTCCTCAAAATGATACTTACTGTCTTAGAATCCTGAACTTCCAAATTTCCTAAATTGCAATTTGATGCCTCAACTTTTCACAAATTGCAAATTAAGCCAAATCTATATCCTAGCACCCAACATCTATACTTTCCATTAATGCTTGACCCAATCTGTTTAAATAATAAATTTGAAAAAATGGGGCATTATGGACTTGTTTGGTGTAGAGTAAGAAAAAAATCATTTTTTGTTTCAACACATTTTCAACCACACATTCTATGGAATTACTGACTTTTCAATCACTTTTTAACAACACGTCTCTCAAAAAATCGATTCTCACTTCAAAAAATCTACATCAAATAAGGGCTATATTAGTCCAACTTTATCTCAATCAAACCATGGAAGTGATTTTAGTGTCATTTGGCACACATTTTTTAGGGAAACATTATTTGTCGACATTTTAAATTGACACGTCAATGTGGCATCTCCTCTCTGTGTGATGAAGAGGTGCCACGTCGGCGTGGCAATTTAAAATGTCCACATTTAAAAGGTCTGTTTGATTGTAATGGTGGAAAATGGGAGGAAAGAAAATATTTTACAAGGAATTGATTTTCTTAGAAAATGTTTTACCGGGAATTGTAATTAATTGTGTTTGATTGGTATAATTTTTC